TTCATGCATTATCTGAATATCCAAATGTGTGCATATATGCTGCAACAGATATAAAATCTCATTTGAATCTTCATATAGTTTACTTGACATTCATAAATGACTTGCTATTGCCTTTTTCTGTGATGTTTGTTTTTCTTTTTTTTTCCAATTTAACCTGCAGCCTGGTGTATCACCCATTTAAGTAATAAGCAAACCACTGTAGTTTTCAAGCCTAGAATAGGTCAGCCAGGTGCTGCCACCTGCTGACACTCAATAGATGGATATATTTGACAATGTGCCATTGAGTCAATGTCAATTCTCAGTGACCACATAGATACATCTTCTCCAGATGGTCTGTCCCCAATTTGGCCTCTCAGCGCTCCCAATGATGCATCCATTGCCAGTGTAATCAAGTCCGTGTATCTTGCGGCTTGTTGTCTTCTATTTCCTTCCACCTTTCCTACTTTTACAGAGTATTCAAGAGTTAGGTCTTCATATAATGTGTCTGAAATAGGATAATTTGAGCCTGAACATTTGTGACTCAAGTGATAACTCTGGGTTTCAAGGACTTCATGGCTGCTCTACCATGCACTAGTCTTTGGCATATTTCTTGACTGCTGTTTCCTTCACTGTTGACAGTTGATCCTAAAAGGCAGAAACTCTCCACCACTTCAATATCTTCACTGTCAATTCTAAGTCTGGTTGCTTTACCTGTTGTCATTACTTTGATTTTTTTTATATTTAATCTCAGTCCCATTTTTTCAGTGTGCATCTTGAATTTCATTATCAGACCTTCCAAATCCTTTGTATTTTCAGGTATTAAAATAGTGTCACCAGCATAGCACAGACTATTAATGTCACTTTCTCTAATTTTAAAACCATGCTCATCGTCTTCAGCTTAATCTAGCTCCCCCCCATATATATTCAGCATATAAATTAAATATATGAGAGAGTATACAGCTTTGTCTCACTCCTTTGCGAACCTGGAGCCAGTTTGTTTCAGCATGCTCACTACAGATTGTGGTTTCCTAGCCTGTGCATAAATTTTGCATGAGGACACCGAGATGTTCTGGGATTCCCATTTTCCTAAGCGCATTTCACAGTTTGACATGATCAACACAATTTAGGGTCATTCTATAGTCAATGAAGCACATATGGACTTATTTTTTGCATTCTTTGGCCTTCTGAATTAGCTAGTGTGCATCAACAATAATGGCTCATATTCCATGGTCTTCTCTAAAGCTAGCTTGAACATCTAACATCTTCTTCTCCATGTAGGATTCTAATCTTGTAGGATGATCCTAAGCATTATTTTGCTAGCATATTAAATTATGGATACTGAACAATAGTTTGCACATTCTGTTAAGTCTTTCTTTGGGATTGGCAAGTAGACTAACCTCTTCCAATATGTTGGCCACTGTCATTCTCCAGATTTGTTGGCATAGTTTGATTATAGCAATTACGGGTCCATTGCTTGCCATATTTTTGTAGATATTCCATCAATTTCTATAGCCTTCCAGCTTGGTAATTAAAACAAACTGTATATTATACCAAAAGATAAAAAAGTTCAAAGAAATACAAAATAGGGGGGAAAACCAACTCATTATGCCAGCAAGGCATTGGAAATCTATAATTAATACCATATATGTTCCTTCTTTTATTGTTTTGCTAGTGCTCTGAATTTATTTTGTTGTAATTTACTTTTCACGTGATTATATAACAAATAGTCTTGGAATGCTACTGAGAAACTTCACTGATATTTCTGTTTTGTCACTTTCCTGGAAATATACCAGCAAAGCTCCTCCTTCACTTACTGATATTGTTTTCTCTTCAGGAATATATTCAGTTGATGAGCTGCCAAATTAATAATGAAATTGTTTTTGTTATCTTAAAAACTCTAATGAGGAACTACACAATACCAAAATAGCAGCAATTAATTTTAACAAGGAATTTTGGCATATTTGATTATAAATAAAAACAGCCAAAATTTTTATTACCAGCAAACAGCACTACAGTATGAACACATTGTAAATAGCATACTTGGAAATTACATTTGTACACAATGTTATTTTAAAATTGCACTTCCAAAGCATTGAGATAGCAAGATATGTTGCAATAAAATTGCAGTTACTAACAAGTGAAAACATCCTGCAATTTTATAAAAGAAAACGGAACTGAAGTTTTACTAAACAACTTGGAAACAAGTAATATAACTTCAGAATTATGGACTAGGTGCTACAACATTGTTCTTACAAAGTATGAGTTCTTTCTGAACTATCAATCTCATGCTTATTACATCTCCAAAAAGTTTGAAAAGCCATATTTGGAAGATTCAGACAAAAGAGGATCCTTACATTCTAAAATATGAACACTGTACAAGGTGAAGAATGCCAATGAAAAATTCAAACAGTTTCAAATAATATTCAAACAAGGTTTGAGCTATCCATTTATAACATACCCACTGAGCCCCAAAGAGCTTTTTTCTGGATATACTCTGCTCCATCCACAAGAAAACAAAAGAGAATGCTCTCCATATCCCCAAGTAGTCTGGCTTCTTGTTCCAATATAAACTGCTTATGCTTCAAGACACATGTAATATGCACTGGATAAAAAGGTTGAGTGTGGATGTTTATTAAAGTGTACTTGCAAAGGATTGTGCTGTAAAAGAGCATATTCCAGTGAGATCTATCTCCTTCATTTGACAAAATTTGTGTCATGAAAGCAGGAAATATCCAAACATCATAGCATGAAATGGGATTTTTCCCTCTAGATATTCAAAGCTCTTCAGAGAAGGCCATGCTCTTTGAAATGCTAACTGGTGATATAAAAAGCAAAAATCATAAAATTCAGTTCAGTTCTAGCCTAATGCTTTCACTGTATCTGAAATGCAATTTATATAATTCTTCATTAAGATTATACTAAATATACATTCATCAGAATAATTTCTGAACTATATAAGAACTTGTATTCAATTTATTCATACCACCAATTTTTTACTTCCTAGACTGAGAAGAATAATGTGTTTAATTGCCTTCCCTAATCTGGGGCATCTTCTAGATTTGCGGATTTAAATTCTCAGAATTCTATAGCAAAATGACCATTGCTGAGCATTTTTAAATTTGAAGTCCGCACATCTGGAGGGCACCCATATCAAGCAAGGATGTTCTGGACCAAAAAGGCTATATCTTTATATGATAAAATTAACCCAGGTATTTGGGTAAGGGAACAGGTAGATGAGCATATATAGACAATCCTTACACCATCAGGAAAGCTTATAATTAATGTGCTTATTTATACTCATTTGTTCATCTTCCTGAGTATACACTGGGACAGGTCATCTGTTCCTTTTTTAGGTTTACAATGTTTCCTCAGGATGCTCCCAAGAGCAACTACCAGGCAGCAATCCATAAACTAATTTAAAACTGTGTGGTATAGCAATTTAAGTGTTGGATTAACAGGTTTGAAGACTCAGTATTACTTCAAATTTGAGAACAGCATACCTCCAAATGAGTTATAGGTGAACAATGGCAGGAGAGAGCTATGTCTCCATCTCCTGCCTACAAGCACCACAGAGACATCTAGTTAGCCACACTGAGAAAAAAAACCTGGTGAACCTTGGGCTGATGTTCTCATAAGATGGAGCGAGCAAAAGAGTACAAGAAGTTTATCTTTGTTTCATTCACTATAGCAAATCCTTTGACTGTAGATTGTGCCAGAAGTAGACTGTAATATGGTTAGTGGATGTACGAGAACATCTGATTATTCATCTGAGGAATCTTTGCAATGAGTAAGTAGAAACTGAATTTAGAGAAATTTAAAGAAACACCATAGCTAAGAAGATGGTAGAGAGTGAGACTAGGACATATATTGTTCCCATATCTGCTTATCTTATACATATTATATGAATGGCAGGACTGAAAGAGCTGTAATGAAAATTGCAAATCAAAAGACTAAAAATTTGAGGAAATGGACTCTAAGAAAAAGTGAGAGAAAAAAGATAGAGGCCTTACAGAAAAGTATTATGGACTGCAAGGTGCACCAGTTGGACCAAACAATGCCCTGGGCATGTGGTATAAACCTATAATGGCTTATACAAATATTATGTATGGCAAAGTTAAGTGCAAAAAAGGGAGACATTATAAAATATTATAAATTATTTATATAATCAGACCAAAGTCCATCTTCTCTTCAACTTATATCTCATAATGACTAGCTACAAACTCTATAAGCCAAACACACCTTCCCTTTCTGATATCGAAATCTGGTATTCAAGGGTATATTGTCTGAAAATGAGAACTCCATTTAGAGTAAGTGTAATGGATTGACATATTTACTCTCCATTAACGACACATTGTGTGAAGACACATTTTCCTTTAATTGTAAATGTAAACTGTAAATGTTGATTTACCTTTTTCACATTTACAATACTGTATATAAAGCTAATATTTTCAGAAACTTTCTTGAATACTGAATTTACAACACTAAGCCATAGTAGAATAACTGATGAATATATACACTTTTTTCAAGGCAGTCTTGACTCTTGGTAACTGCCTGGACAAATTCAGGTAGATTTCTTCATAACATTTACAGAAGTTTGTCATTGCCTTTTTCCTAGGGCTGAGAGAGAGTGACTGGCCCAAAATCTCCCAGCTGGCTTTGTGCACAGTCTCTTGGTTTCTAGCCCAGTGCCTTCAACCACTACACCAAACTGGCTCTCATGTACATACTACTACACAATATTGTAGTTTGTTTCACATGTGAATCTTGCTCTAGTCAATTTAGACTCTATCAGCCCATATTTTATGTTGTTAAGATATTTTTAACAAAATGCATACAGTATCTTTTTGAACCTCATTTGCCATTTGCTACCAAATATTTACAAAAAAAAAAAAAAATTTGGGGACAAGAGAAACTATCCAATGAAATATACCATTTAATTTTAAAATAACAATATTGATCATCACAAACTGGTTTTATTGATTAAAAAGACAACATGGATCATTAAAATGAATCAGACTTACCATTCTGCAACTGGCTTGGCAATGGTTTCAAAAATTTCATCTTGTTTTGATTCCTGATCAAACACTTTCTGAAATCTGCAAATTATAAATAACTGGTCATGCAAAATATTAAAACAATTCTTGATTAATTTCCTTTTTTTTCCATTTAAAAGTAAATCAATGTTTACATCGCTGGATTTACATAATCCAGGACAATGTTTCTCCTGTAGCCTTTTCCGCACTATGTTGTTGTGCTACTGAATCCACAAAGGACTGTAAACACTACTGCTTTACCAAATGTGTACAATAAAATCTTCTGATAAAATGTTACTGCTTAGAAAAAGCAAACTGTACTTTACTACCGTCATGGGGATCAACATTTCCAAAGGCCCACACATGAACTTGTTTAAGAAACACTAAAATAAAACAGAATATATAAACAATGCAAACTATTTTCAGTTTTCTTCTCTAGAGTAGAAAAGCAGCTATCAAGGAACATACTTTAGCAGCAAGTGAAATACTTTAAAAGTATTTTACCCTATTTCCATAATCTAACATCAATAAATTACTGATGTTTAACATCTCTATAAACCCTTCTGTTAAAGACATGTTTTAATGCCCTCCCTGCTCTCCCACCATTAAAAGAACCTATTCTCCATTTTGTTCTAGTGCAAATGATTTGGAAATATTATGTTGATTCACTGCAGTGGACAAGAGTCCTGTGCTACATTAAAGACTGATTTTATTTAATCACATAAGCACCTCTAGATCCTCGTCCACTTCATTAGAAGTGCTGAGAAAAGGACTTTTTATTTAGTCGGGAAGGTGAGAGAGAAGGGGAAAGAGGAATAGATGATGATGATTGCATAAAATTTTGGGCCACCAATATGGTGTTCATAGCACCCTTTTTCCTCCAGGTTAAACAAATGAAAATAAAAACAAAATTATTTTTCTTTTCTAGGAGGAAAGAATGAGCCATATATCTCTTCTTTCCTTCTAGAGAACCAGGTGGAAATAATTCAATTTTCAGTGATAATGATAGTAAAATGGGGGGGATATGAAGCAGGAGGAATCTGAATGTATGGGTATCACTGTAGGCTAGAGCCATGTGGGCTGGGCAGGAGTACCCGTGTGCAAGCTCTCTCTATATTCCCTCAATTAGAAATTGCCACCTTCAGGGCCATGGGAATATGTGTTTTTGGTCACTGACTTCCTCCTCTGAAACTGAATCCCCCGATATGCTATGGATCCTCTGTTGGTCTTCAGAAAACTGTTGAAAACATGGTTGTTTTTCCAAGCCAGGAAAGCTGGGTTGTTATGACTCCAAATGATGGCTTGACTTTTACTGTTTTTTATCATGATTCTCTGTTTATTTTTATTATAATACATGATGTTTTTTTTTAAGTGATGTATATCTGTTTGCTTTTAATTCCAATTACATATTAGGGAACTACATATCACCCATATTTTTACAGGAGCATGAAATACTGTAAATAAATACAAATAAAAAATTATGCCCTAGCTGCTTTGAAGTTCACTTCTAAACTACTAATATTGATGCCTCATATTTAACCTTCAAAAAGCAACATTTACAGTGGGGCAAAAAAGTATTTAGTCAGCCACCAATTGTACAAGTTCTCCCACTTAAAAAGATGAGAGAGGCCTGTAATTTTCATCATAGGCTCAACTATGAGAGACAAAATGGGGAAAAAAATCCAGAAAATCACATTGTTGTACAATTGGTGGCTGACTAAATACTTTTTTGCCCCACTGTAACATTATATGAACAGACTTCTGCTTATTCAGTGGAACATCCTCTTCTCTCACTCATCTCCCTGATACCCTAAAATTTTCTTGTACAATTGGTGGCTGACTAAATACTTTTTTGCCCCACTGTAACATTATATGAACAGACTTCTGCTTATTCAGTGGAACATCCTCTTCTCTCACTCATCTCCCTGATACCCTAAAATTTTCTTGTACAATTGGTGGCTGACTAAATACTTTTTTGCCCCACTGTAACATTATATGAACAGACTTCTGCTTATTCAGTGGAACATCCTCTTCTCTCACTCATCTCCCTGATACCCTAAAATTTTCTTGTACAATTGGTGGCTGACTAAATACTTTTTTGCCCCACTGTAACATTATATGAACAGACTTCTGCTTATTCAGTGGAACATCCTCTTCTCTCACTCATCTCCCTGATACCCTAAAATTTTCTTGTACAATTGGTGGCTGACTAAATACTTTTTTGCCCCACTGTAACATTATATGAACAGACTTCTGCTTATTCAGTGGAACATCCTCTTCTCTCACTCATCTCCCTGATACCCTAAAATTTTCTTGTACAATTGGTGGCTGACTAAATACTTTTTTGCCCCACTGTAACATTATATGAACAGACTTCTGCTTATTCAGTGGAACATCCTCTTCTCTCACTCATCTCCCTGATACCCTAAAATTTTCTTGTACAATTGGTGGCTGACTAAATACTTTTTTGCCCCACTGTAACATTATATGAACAGACTTCTGCTTATTCAGTGGAACATCCTCTTCTCTCACTCATCTCCCTGATACCCTAAAATTTTCTACCTATGATGAAAATTACAGGCCTCTCTCATCTTTTTAAGTGGGAGAACTTGCACAATTGGTGGCTGACTAAATACTTTTTTGCCCCACTGTAACATTATATGAACAGACTTCTGCTTATTCAGTGGAACATCCTCTTCTCTCACTCATCTCCCTGATACCCTAAAATTTTCTCTTAGATGGTTTCTAACTCCTCCTCCCCCCCAAGGGAATTCTGGGAAGGAGAGCAGCAAAGTAAAGAAAAAGTTTGTTCCAATAGTAGTCTCCATTCCACTGCTAGATGTATACAGTTAGCTACAAATAAACACATTTCATAACCAAATCCATCAGGTTTTATTTTCTAATGAAGGTATACTGGATTGGACTTTAAAAGATAGCTCTTCACAATCTTTTCTGTTTCGTCAAAGCCATAAGCACAAGAATGTTGCTTCATCATCAGAGTGATAACAATACTAATATTTAACTGGAAGGAAAAACAAGAACAATCTGAATGTAGTTACTTTAAGAAAAAAAATTAAAATGCTTTAACAGAGTATGTTATAAAGGAACCCTATGATACCTATTAAGAAAGATGTTAAAGTTTGTTGTTGGGTATGTAGCAGTGTTTGGAACATGTTTATAGGAAGGCAACATAGACAGTGAAAGATATAGAAGCATGTCCTGTAAGAAAAAGTTAAAGGAACTGCATATCTGAAGAAAATAACATTAAAAGTAGGATGCTAGCCACTGGCAAATATCTGAAGGGCTACTTCATACTGATGAAAGAGAAAAATTGTTTTCAGTTGCTTCACAAGAGGAATAGGAAATCTATCATCCACCAGATGTTGTTGACCTATAGCTCCCAGCTAAATCTTCCAATAAATTCAAATAAGCAAACAGCCCAGCCAGCATGGTCACTATGAAGCATGTTGAGATAAATAATATTAGAAGCCTACAGATTCCCCATCCCTTTCTTATTCATATTGCAGGAGAAGGAATTTCAATTTTAGGGGAGAAAAATCTAATAGTACAGCCTGTTCAAGAATGGAAGAGTTTACTCTAATAGGCCATGGAATCTCCCTCACTGGTGGTTTTATTTAAAAAAGGTGATTCCTATCAAAATTGACAAAACAGTCCATTTCTGGCAGGAAGCTAGACTAAATTACTGGGTAGGCTTTGTTTATGATTTTGCTCTATTTCATTCATTCAGAATTAGAAATATGGTTTACTTTATTTTCCTGTTATAAACAACATAAACATGTATAAATGTCATGCTCACTACCTTTGTTTTGTAAAATGATTTGGAAGAATATCAACTTTGTAATTAGAGTGAAGTTTAAACTGCAAGAATTTCTGAAAGCTTTAGAAGTGTAAAACATTATTTTAAAATTCCATAAATGAGAACAGTAAAATAAAGAGTTGCAACTGTACATCAAAATGATTAACCGTTTTTTCATAATTACATGCAAACAACCAAAGAATCAAAGTAACTTACTTAAACTTGTAGCTTTCTCGTTTGTTGTTGACAAATCCATCTGCCAAATCACGTGGCACAATAATCTCCAGACCAAATGCTGATGTCTCAACTTCATCAACTGAATATATCTACAAAATACATGTACACTTTCTGAAAATATTTGTACTCATGAAATTATTATAATTTAAACACTCCATGATTTAGCCTTATGCTTAGGTAGGACAATTTCTTAATAGGATTTGGTACACAAAGAATTCTCATAACAAGTGTAAAAGAGATCCAACTCTAGGTAAGTAACACATAAAAATATGGGAATGAGGAAAATCCTACATGAAAAACATGTATACTATTCCATATAATTTCTGGAAAAATGCTAATTTGACATTTGCTAGAAGTAACCACTTCAGTTAAGCAGTATATAGTTTTGAGTAAGTATGAATAAGATTCCAGCTTTTATTACTCCATTTAGTTCAAATAGGGAAAGCAGTTTTAAGGCTGAAGGAAAGTTAATTGATAAAGTTGCCTGCCACATAGCTGTCAAAAGTTACAACAACCAAAATAATTCCATTTCATCAAACTTCAGAAGAGTGGCCGAAAGTTCACTGCAACAAAATGAGCAAACAATCTTATGGCACCTTCAAGTATTTCTAACTGGATAACCCTCAATACTTGATGTGCACTTAGTCTGTCTTTTCTCCCTTTTCAGATAGTCAACAAATAATAAAAGTGATGGAAAAGGTGGAAGAATTACAAATATAGAGATGTTAGTTCCTCCTATCATTCCACAAATAAACTGAGAGACTGAATAATGAAAGCCTCATCTCCAAACATGTTTTACTATAACCCTAGTGATTGTTTAGTTTTTTTTAATGCAATAGTTTACAACCCTTTACCAGTGTTCTTTACAATACTGATTTTTTTAAAAAGCAGCAGCAACATCCTGAATGTCATTATAACAATGAAATTGAATCCTGTGTTTCCAAAAATGTGCATCTAGCAACCTTCTCCGGGTCTACCATTTATATGGGCTGAATGATCTTCCAACAAAAGCTTACTTCTTCCCATTAAGAGATTTAGGCTTTAGAATACCAGGATGAAATCTGTTCATTGGAATGTGCGTTTGGCCTCTCAGCATTTAGATAATCTCTAAAGGGCTACCTCTTTCACTTTGCTTTCAATTGATAAATGATTGTGGTACTTATTCTACTGTCAATTTAACTTTTTTTTTTTAATTTGCCTGTTTTTTTCCAATTTTTTAACCACCCTGGGACCTCGTCAAAGTAGAAAAGCAGGGATTAAAAACAACAGACACATTATCAACATGGACATCTGGCTTTATGCGCAGCCCAGCTTCAAATTTAGCCATGCATTTTCCAAGCAGCCACGTCCCTGTCTTCTAGGGGAAGGACTACAGAAGTCCTGTGTTGCGTCCTGCTCACTTTTCCCACCCAGCCTCTACAAAAAGCCTTCCCTCCCTCTGCCTCATCCCTTCCATCACCTTCAGCCAAGGTGTACTCTACTCCAGTATGCTGGCTGGGGAATTATGAGAGTTCAAGTCCACACATCTTATACTTGCCAAGGTTGAGAAACACTGCTCTACTCCCCATGCAGTCACTCTATGTTTTTTAACATTTCGAAGCTTCTGGCTCGGCTTGGCTCTCGCCCACTATTTCTCTCCACCATCTGCCCGGGCCGAGTGGGTTCTCTCCTTCACCTACCCCAGGGGGCTGCCTTTTGCCCAGGGGTTTCACCCGGGCATAGATCTGGATCGTCTGTCTCACCATCTCCGCGAATCAAGTTCTCAGTGGTCAGGAAACAAACGAGCGGGCTCAAGGCCGGCCCTAGCAACGGTAACCAAGGAACACTACCCGTCGTGCCTTGCGACAAATCGCCTGGTTGGGGAAACGCCTCCGCGCGCCCGGGAGCTGAACGTCTCGGTTCCGTTACCCAGAAGAGCTTCAAGAAGGCAGAGTAAATCCCATTGAATGTAATGGGTCTGAATGTTAAGTAGAGGAAAAGAAATGCATTGCGTTTGCTTGATAAAATAACGTGTGCCTATTTTTCTTTGCTTAAAGAAACCCTTCACTCTTCCGCTCTTCGTGGGGACCAGGCGGTGTATATTGCTCCTTAGCAATTTTTTTTTCTTTTAGTCCCAAACAGTATGTCCCAAACAGTTTTAAAAAAATCGATGTGCGCGCTGTGTTAGGGATGGCTGGCTGATAGTAAGCCCCTGTTTAACCATGATGCCTCCTAGATGATGGAGTGGAGCATCATGGATCAGAAGGGTGGCCAGGAGGTTATCTGGTCTGAGCCCCAAGCTCAGAAGTGGCCTCAGGCACCGACAGTTTTGCTAATTTTTTTTTAAGTTAAGAACGGTTCAAATTCTGTTATTTTATTAATTTGCAATATGGCCACCTTGAGATAGGTCTGTGTGAGTTTCAAATAATAACCTTATTACAGAAAGATTAAAAGAAATATCTCTGTTCAGTGCTAACTTAAGGACTGTATATTAAGTACTGTATTCATTCCAACTACATACATGGAAATCTTGTCTACCCTAGCTCCAAGATTATTTAGATTATTACTACTCTAGCTCCAAGGTTTAGGTTTATTTAGTTTAAAATAAATAAAATAAAATAGTTTAAAAACTTGTTTAGGTTCATGCCTTGCATATGGCTTGCTTATAAATGATTTATAAAATCACAATTGCTTGGGTTCACACAATTCCAGGCCTACCTCTAGTATTCTGCATTTTTGTGTCATTTCTTTCATTATGTTTATTTTTTTTATTTAATGACTTTAATCTTTTTTAATTATTATTGTGGGAGGCATGGGTTGATTTCTCTTCAGTTTTTTTTCCCCTAGACTCAGAGAAATAATGTTATTTTTATGTGGAATTTCTTAACCCATGTCTTGTGTTAAGTGGTCTTGTGGAACATTAAAAGTCCTAAATGCCCTTACAGATATGTACCAAGATGGGAGCTTTAAAACTTGAGATTTGTTTGTTTTTACATGAAACTCATGTAAGTACTTATGTAAAAGTTGGGTTGTTCAAGGGTGTATTACTGAAAATTCCAAATTTGTTAGAAGAGTAGTAACTTTGATAATCTTCATAATTTGTAGCAGAACAAAAACTACCAATGCAGAATAATAGTTTTAATATTAGTAATTAGATGTTATAATATTGCATTTATTTCATACATGGAAAGTGCTACATGCTTATGTGTTGTATTTTAATAGGGTAGGCAGAGCCAGTTTTGTACAGTGGTTAAGACATCAGGCTACAGATCGGAAGGCTGTGAGTTCTAGTCTCACCTAGGCACAAAGCCAGCTGGGTCGCCTTGGGCCAGTCACTTTCTCTCAGCCCTAGGAAGGAAGCAACGGCAAATCACTTCTGAAAAACCTTGCCAAGAAAACTGCAGGGGCTAGTCCAGGCAGTCTCCAGGAGTCGACACTGACTTGAAGATGGAAGGAAAAAAAAAGGGTAGATATATGGCAACATAATTCTTCACAGTAAGAATATGCTTTCTTTTCAGACCCACATTAGACTTATTCCAGGATTATTTTTCAATATCTCATATCTGGACTGCAATAACTCTAATTCTAACTCATCCATCAGGTGTACAACTACCTTTTTGTAGCCTAGATATGGCAGCCCTTTGAGTATCCACATACATTATTTATTTATTTATTTATTTGTTGGTTGGTTTGTTGCAGTTCTTACGTGCTTCCCTGTGTACTTCTATAAAGAAGATATGGAAGGAGGATTTCTTTGTTTTAATATAATCTTAAAGGGCTTTAAGACAATTTAACTCCAGTTTATGATAGTCTTATCATAGTAAGCTATGAACCATGATTTAATAGCAACTAAATAAACAGAAACAGTGCCTGGTTTTGCATATTGCATAAAACTAAAAATAAGCCACTTTATGTCTCAACATGTGTCAGACCAATCTTTTGGTAAATTATTCAATGAACCAGGACATAAAAAGGATGGGATTAATTAGATAATCAGTATTCTTGAGTTCATTTAGCACATATTTAACTATACTGTCTCAGGCAATTCATAGTTACGTAGGTTACCTCATTGAGCTGTATTAACTTACAAAGAACTAAGACAGATTATGATTGAGTATGATCTATGAACCTAAATCTTTTTAAGATAAATTGGGAATTTGCAAAGGTAGTAATGTTTTTTTTTTTTTTTGTATCCCAGAATAGGATTGAATTTTGAATTATCCCAACTGAGTACAGGGAAACTGAAACCCACATTGGAAAATTGCTTCATTTTTAAAAGATATCTTAGTGTTTTGTGTTAACATATCTACTTTGATTTTTGTTTTAAATGACTCTTCCAAATTTTTTCTGAAGGGGAATCCTTTGTCTACCCCTAGAAGGAAATACTCCATTATCTTACTATCAAATAATATAACGTGTCTTGTTTTAATGTACAGGAGGTTTAATCTGATAATCCTGCCATGATGATATACAACTGGATGGGGGATTAAAAACATTGTATCCTAGGCACTCTTTGTTGAAAACCTTTTATCAGAAATATTCTCTCATTCAGAAAGCTATTGTCCCATGTTTCTGGATTAATGGCCATTAATCTGTAATTTCAAAGTAGAATCTACCTACCTACCTTTTACACAAGTTCAAAATATTTACAGAAATTGCCAAACAGATGGCTGGATCACTTATACATAAGAATGCATTCTTCTTTAGAGGGATATTTTTTTTAAAAAAAGACAGAATCTCCTTCAAGTCGAGATTGTTTGTGGATGTGATCATGGATGCATTTGTGTAGGTTTTTTTGACAGCAACTTGCCCTTTATCATTCCATACTTTAACTTAGAATTTACTCTAAAAACTGGTTCCTCATAATTTAGAAATAAATGTTTGATTTTACTAAGACATATAACATATTTCTTGGTCCATAAAAGAATCTTATTCTATATTAACAAAACACCTAGAAGATTACCACTCTCAAATGTGCAAATTAAGAAGCTATGAAAATATTAGGGCAACATAACATTTAAAAAAAAAATCTAGTTCATGTATGAAGTTGCTAATTTTGGAAAATTTTAATCAAAAATCAAACAATGAAATTTTCAGCTATCCTTACTATTCTACAGTTAACATTACTGTGTTGGGATTTTAAACATAGGTCCCCTTATATTAAATTGTCACTATAACTAATAGTCACTTATAGGGCAATGCATTATGAATGTATTTGTTATTTCAAAGAGGTCTACAAAAGCTAGTAGTTATTACAACTTGTCACAGTAAGCATTAGCTAAAGAAATCCTTCATCTGACAATTTCATGGATGACCGTAAGCTCTATAGGCCTAAGAGAAAATAGAATTTCTCTTTCATAATTCCATATATAAATGTCTTCTAAAAAAATCTATTTGTTCTTCATAATCACAGTGCTCCACCCATTAGCCATTGTAGCTGTCTTTTTCTCTTTTTTCAAAGGGGAGCAGAGCTGCACGTGGTAATCTGAATGTAGTCATGGCATAAATGTATAAGTCTTACATAATATTCCTGTTACCATCCATAAGTCTCCATAATTGTGGCTTATATTAAACCATAATTCCTCTCCAATGGATATAAAACTATTTAATGAAGACTGGCTTTCAAGGCTTATTGTTTTTGTGTCCAATTCCCAACCCTACTTGGCTTGCTTTTTCCTGGGCTGCTTGCCATATTCCCCTTTGCCCTCTCCTGTTGATGTTGTTTGGAGTCAAAACTTAGAAACATCTACAGTTCAAAAAGGAATCAAATAAACTGTTGTGTTCACTAGATCCTAATGGGCAGCAAATGCAAGCATGAGCTAGCAAGCTGCAAAGGAATAAATACATTTAAGTCAGAAAAAAAAAATCAGGGAAATAATTTAGGGGGTTGTTAACTTTCTTCACAAAAGAATTGATTCCACAAAGGCTTCTTGTATATTCTGGCATGAAAAGTTTTTTATGACAATTTTAAATGTAGTAAATGGTATTTAATGGTTTGAAAGGGCTGTGGGGAGTACAATAAAGCTTAGAGCATGCCATGAGAGGAAAAGGCTGATAAATTCCCTTCAGTAAGTACAATATTTTCCCCCTAATCCTGATAGCATCTAGAAATGAATGTATTTGTCAATTTTAATTTCATTGTGCTTTTCATTTTTCCAACCTTAAGTTTGTTCCCTTCTCGTTTCTGTGTAAATTTGCAATATTTAAAAATATAAGTCAGTACCAACATTTATAAAATTGACATTTCTAATACACACATTGCAATGCAATTTTTAATATATGCACTTTAAGCAATTGTCTCTTATGTCTTTTGCATTTTTTGAGCTGTGAACTAATCACAGCTGCACATATCAGCATTCAATTGCATATTGATGTAGAATGTATATGAATAGGGAAAAATTATATTTAAAAAATGAATTGAATGACTAAGTTCCTACAGTGTGCTAAGCCATGGTGTGTCTAACCTTGAATAATTACAACATGTGAAGTCAAAACCAAACCAACAACATTATGGCTTAATGCAGTGTAAGAATCCAACCAATGACAGCCTTGTGTAACATACCTGGACCCTAAACTTGCCAAGTTTTCAAGTTTCAAGAAATCCACTTACTGGATTTCTAAAATGGACCCTAAAATAAGAATATTCATAAATATGAACATAGAACATAGATATTAAAATAAAAGCCCAATTATATAATTGACTATCTGGTGGGTTGAAACCACCATTATCATAAGGTAACCTCAATTTTGTCAAGGATATTCAAGG